ACACTTGCACAGGATTATTGCTAAAAACTCTGATCCTTCTTATAGAAAGCCCTATAAATCCCAGAGAGCTCCCTTCAAATCAGCAGCATTATCCAACAGTAAAGCCAGGGTGTAAATCAGAGCAGACTCTGGCTCAGATGCTCTTCAGCCATGCACCGTATGGGAGCCTAGAAGCACACTGGGATTTCCATAGTGGGACTGAATACAAGTCAGTTCCCCCCAAACCCATCCCTGCTTGCATTTCACACAGTGTTGAGCCCCACTGCTCAAGCACCTTGCACTAGTCACACTCGCCTCATCAAGCAGCTCTCTGAAACAGAATAAGATCTGGCTTTGGCAGCACTGCCGCAGACACGTGCTTAAATATTGCTCACAGATGAGTTATTTCTTGCTTCTTAGTAACTTTAAATAGCTTTTATGCTCAGTGAACTCATCAAAGACTAGTATGTAAAGTCAGGAGCACTGAAACCATGAATTAGTCAAAGGACAAACGGGCCAGTTAGCCTGTAAGGCGTTTCTTGCAATACAATATCTTGATGGCTGCCAGAGGATCTGATTTAAAGTCACTATGCTACACCTGAATGTCATTTATGGCTCATAAAAGGAAATCTGTGTTTAAGCAACAATAAAGCATTTTCTATTAAAAAAAAAAAAATACAAACCCTTTCTCAGGGAACAGCTGTACTTTCATTTGCTCGGTGCCTGCCTGCGAGGCACATGGAAGTACCTGACAGTGCTGGGATCCTTTCAGACCAACAATTTCACAGGAGGACTTGTTCCAGCACAGATTATAACACCTCAGATTTGATTTTTATTCACTTTTCCACTGAGGCATTTATCAAAAGCCTCCTGGAAAAGCGAGGACCCAAGTGTGCTGCACATTTGTAGCCATCAGAGGAGAGAGAGCATCTATGGGCACTGCTGGGACCCAGACCACAATCCTGCACCAAACAGCAGCACAAAGCAGGGACCCCTCATAACACTCCAGCTCCAGGACAGGGACATTTGGCCACACAGCATTCCAGCAGGCATTGCATCAGTCACTGCAAGACACACTCCTTCTCCCCAAGGACGTGCGTTTTTACCCACCTGTTACTGTCAAAAACAAAACCCTCCTTCACATCAGACTCCACGGTTCCCAGAACCACTTTTCTGGTCCTAACACAAATGTCCTGCCTCTGTGCAGACAGCAGTCAAGGGGCAAGGAGAAAAGCTAGCTGCTTAACCCCAGGGCCTTCCTCTCTGAGGAGCTGTAACAGACCAGGTTGCGTAATGCCTGGAGACTTTACCTTCCAGCTCACACTGCAGGTCTGCAGGATCTCCTCGACGCTCAGCGCTACCCAGGATCTATAGGATCATCTTCACAAAGACAGCAACGTACCCTAAGGAAAGAAACAAAATACAGTCATTATAAAACTGTTCACTATCAGGACCTCAGAAGGACAAGGGCATGCTTTGTTCTTAACAGCAATTTGACAACAACCTTCACCAGCAAAGCAGTTGTGCTGAAGCTGCAAAACACACAAACCAGCTGCAGCGAGTCAGCGTCGTTGATTTAACATTAATTACCTTGTTCTGGGATGAGGATGACATATTCAAGCACTTCATTGGCTCTAGAAAGGTCTGCTCCACACACCCTGCACCAGCTGAATCTTGCCCTGCGCTTTGACAGAATAACAATGCAAATTTAAAGCAGCTCACAACAAAGAGAAGAAGAGAGAAAAAAAAAAGGACTTAAATGCTTTCAGGACTGCTAACCTTTGAATTCTACTGCAAGCAAAACCTGCAGAGGATTGAACTTGGATTACTTCAAATATTCATCCCACTTGAGTGCTTCCATATTTTTCTTCTAGATGCTTATATCCAAGCTACAGACACAGCTTTTCATTATTCCCAATAGCTTTAATCTTATAAATCCATTGGCCTTACCTTCCCAAACAGTACATCCTTCCACAGACCCATTCCTTCCCCTCTTCCTACTCACTGGTGCCATCTCACATTCCTTTCACACAACCAACAACTGACCTGTTTGTTTCTGCATTGAAGAGAAACTAGAAGGCAGCTTTGTGATTTCTTCTTTTTGGCTCGTTTCTAAGGAGAAGCATGATAGCACCAAGAAAAACCAAGTCAAACCACTTCTACACGTAGTTTTTCCAGATCTTTATTTTACAAAAATAACTTACAAATAGAGACAACTCTCAGAAGCAAGATCATTCATTCTGTGCATAAAGATACAGGTTTGTGAAGTCCGGGCATAAGAGTTAACAACTCTTACAATACTGTTAATTTTAACATGATGGTAGCTATATTACAGCACATACATTTCATGCTCCAGACACACGGCTACGACCACCACATAAAGCTATGGTCAATGAACCGTGCCAGCCAGCAAGGATGCACATCAGAGATCATTGCCATACTGCCTTTCATTGTCATCCTCTTAGCAAGGACAGTTAAAACCAAATGGCAGCCTAACACTCAGACTACAGCACTCTGGATACACTCAACAGCAATATACTTCAAATACATGATAAAAATATATTTCATTTTCAAATACAATTGTATAAGGTACACCGATAGCCAGAAAATAAAGTCTCGAGCTTTTAAATACAACATACTATATATAATAACATATACAATGAGACAAGAGGGAATCTACACATGGAAGGAAAAAGCTTATCCTGAAAACGAATGTTATCTCTGGTACACAATGGCTTTGTCTGCTAGGAAGTCGGTTCCATTTGCATAGCATTGTCAAGAAGTCCAGACTGGGCTAGGAGGAGATCAAACAAAACACACAAACAAAACGCTTAGTTTTGGTACCACTTCCATATTGTGCCTGATTCTACTCTTAAATTACAGTTTGCTATTTCTCTTCTGTAGGCTGTAATTCATGCCCCGTTCATAACAAGCATAAGGAAAGGGGGGGAAAAAAAAAGTCAGAGAGTCAAGGAGGGTTCTTGCCGGAGTTGCAGTCATTTGGTATTTTGCTCCAGAGCAGAATACTCCGCTTCTGACACTCTGGAAGCGTCAATAAGCTTAGTGAGACCAGTTTTGGCAGAGTACTTGAAAATAAAGGCTTTCATGAGCTCGTATCTGTAATTGCGATTAATGAAGCTATAGAGGATGGGGTTGACGCAGCAATGGACTAGAGAGAAACACTGAGTGATGTGAAGCGTGGCGTACAAGAAGTTCTCCATTTGACAACTGAAGGGTATGAAATGAAGACTGTAGAAGATGTCGAGAAGGACAGTTGTATGGTAAGGTAGCCAGCAGACAAGAAACACCACCACGTAGGAGAAAATGATCTTCCCACTGCTCTTCCTCTCTTGGTCGCTGGAGGCAGAGATGGCCTTCGCAAGGAGGAAGTAAAAGAGAGCAATGACTGGAAAAGGGATAAGGAAGCCCAAAACGACAGAGATGAGCTCCATGCCGATCAACCACTCCTTGAAGCTCTCCTCGGGATACAAGGGACGGCAGTAGGTTTCATTGCTGGTAGAGACTGTCTTAAGGAAATAGGTGTCTGGCAGAGATGCAGAAAAGGCAAGAAGCCACACCAGGATGCAGATGCAGCGGCGGATTATCTTCTTCTTGCGATTACTAGAATTGGTGAAATAGGCAACTGAGAGGTAGCGGTCCACGCTCATGCATGCCAGGAAGAAGATGCTGCCGTACAAGTTGATGGAAAATATAAGGTGAGTTATTTTGCACGTGATTTCTCCCATGTGCCACTGGTTATGCTGGACGAGGGAGACAACCCAAACAGGAAGCGTGATGACAACGCACAGATCGGCGACGGCCAGGTTGAAGATGTAGAGGTGGGTTTCATAGCCAGTCATTTTGGCTTGGAGATTGACCCACACCACAACGGAGTTGGCCACCAGCCCTATGACAAAGATAAAGATGCAGAAGAAGGACAGGGTGTAGAGCAGGGCACTTTTGTTGAGCGTGCCGGGGCATGCTGTTGCATCGACTGTGATGCAGTCGCTGTTGTTGCACATCCAGTTGATCTCCGTTAAGTTGGCCTTTTCCAGAAAATCAAAGATTGAAGTCAAATCAAGTGCATTCATGTTTGCTTACTTCAGGTTTCGAGTGACCTACGGAACAAGCGGGATCGAAAGAAAAGATCTGAGGTTAATGGGTGTATTTCTGCTGTCTTCTTCACACCAAGAAGTGCATGCGAGACACGCTGCTTTAGTGATGTCCTGCTCTGCTAATACGTTTTCATAAAAGAGGTCTGTGGAGTAAAGGAAGCAGAACAGACACACAGCAAAACTCATCTGGTCCACGAAAGAGGAACAGCGCTAGCTTTGTGTGGGATTCTTTCCTGCAGCTCGTGTCTGACATCATCAGGTTGGCTATCATCCCCGGGTGTGAAATCCGCAAAGTACGCCGTGGCCAAATAAATGTCAGGCAACTAAATCTGTCTTCTCCACCATAAATGATGATACTATCGCTTTCAGCAGGGGAATCTTTAAGCCATTTTATCTGCACTCCCTCAAGCATAGTAGAATTGATCTGGCTGATACACGGTACTGTAAAACATTTACCACAAGTTCTGATAAGCATCTTGTCAAGTCCAGCTCCAGCTGCATTAAGCAGAAATGGGGAACTAAGGGGCTTTGTACCCTCATCCAATTTTAAATTTAAATCCTGCTCCATTCTCCCTCCTTCCCTTCAATTCTATTTTACAAAGCATCCCCTGTGTTTAACGATTATCACGTAGCTCTGAGGAAAAAGAATCAGAGCTTGACCGCTGAGTAGATCTGCCCGGCTTAAGTTTTCTTTTTAGAAGAGAGCTTTGATTTACAAAATACTCCCCCATCACAGCTGGCTCCACAACAACTGCTTCCTCCCCACCCTCTCTCTTTTCTAAACCTACTTTCTTGCCTCTTCAGCCCCTTCCCCCATTGGCAGACAGCAGACAAAGCACTGGGCTACTTGTTCAGTTCCTTGCCAGCAGAAAGGAGGGACCCAGCAGACCCACACGGCTCACACAAAATCCAAGCTGGACTGCTAATTACCACTGTGCTTTTGGGGCAGCGTAAAAGGCCTCCTGCCCTGCTGGGCCAACAATACCACCCAAGGCTGCTCCTGGGCTAGTCGGACACCTGCCAGCCGGAGTTTCTTCCTTCTTCCACACCAGGGGATGCATTCCTCTCATTCCCCTGGAGCACCAGGACAGGTTGCAAAGGAGGAACTGTCCCGTTTGTGCCACCCAACCTGGGAGGACAGCTGGAGTCCAGTGATGGCACAGGTGGATCGCCCTGCAGAGCTCTGAAGGCCCTGGAGCCGCATCTGCAGCACAGGCTGTGCGGCAGCTGTATCTCTTCCAACACACAGCAGTAACACCAGCAGGCTTTGCAGCCCATCCTTCCTCCCAGCTTAATTGCAACAAGTAGCTTTCTCTTACTCTGCTGTCTGGCCACTACAAGGCGGACAGCCTGAGCAAGCTGTCAAGGGATACAGTAAGTAAAGGATCTGTCAAGAAAAGCATTTCTCACTTGCTGCCCTTGTTAGCTGATAGCTTCAGCTTGCATTTCTCTCATCAATCCCCCTCTTTCAGATATAAAATCCTTTAGACACTTTAACGTCCTGAAACATAGCCAGAAGCCTCATTCTTCTCCACAATTAAGATGTAAATCCTGTAACTGAGAGCATCCTTCTGCTTCCTGCTCCCAATCCCAGGGCAAGCTTGCACTGAACAACCAAGTGACTGAAACAAGCCAAGGAGAACACACAGGGAAACAACTTACTCAACCACCTGTATCTCTCAATGTCCTTACCTCCCCAAAGGATCTCTTGGATGGGATGCAAGTTTTAGTGGGACTTATGAGATAACCTGCATTATGGAAACTCACAGGGAACACTCAGCTCTAGGATGTTCTAGGATCAGTTCTAAAATGCTGTAACATATGAAGGAGACAACAGAGCAAGGAAGAGTTGGGACGTGCTTCTGCACTAAGCAGTCTCTTCTTGTCCCCACAGGGGACTGGCACCTGGGCTGGGGAAACTTCATGCCTCTGAAAAGGGTTCACAAAGCACCTCTTAGCCCTCTGTCTGCATAATCAGCTCTTCCCAAAGCTCCCACCCATCCTGCCTCGCCACAGCCAGGCTTTGCCACAAACTGAGGAAGAAAAGGGAGATAAGGGGCTGGGGGTTGGGGGGGGAGATTACAGGAGAAGATTCAAGGCACTATTGTCCCTCTGGAAGGGGAAGCTGGTGGCACTAACAATGAGGAGGGCCATGCACACAGCCAGGAGAGATCAAATCTCTCCACAAACAGGGCCCAAATTGGCCCCGTGAGGGCACCTAGCTCACTGCTGCAAACCTATCCAGCCTTCCAGTCTTTCATCTCACCGGCACGCTGAAAGACAAGGCTGAGATTCAAACCAAATTAACTGCCTGTTTGGCTAAGTCCTCTCACCTCGCCTCAACGCACTCAAAGCAACCTGAGCTCTCCCTGCCAGCACAGAGCCCCGCGCAAGGGCAAGGCTGACATCTGCGCTGCTCCCAAAGAGCTGTCACAGGGAACACCATCCCAGCACAGACCTGAGACGTCCCCATCACTTTCTCCAGTGGAAGACACAGGTTTCAGTGGGGTCGGGACGCTGCAAGACCCACTGAGCAGCTGGGATCAGACTCAGCCAGGGGTTAATCCGCCAGCAGAAATGCACGAGGTTCTGCAAAGCACAGGCTGCGATCTGAACCCGCGCAACCCCAACTAAGTTCAGGGGGCTGCATGCGAGAGATCGCCGCTTCCCCCTACAGCCAGCAAAGGGAAATGAGATGCTCTGCGTTCACAGGCTCAAGCCTCGCCGGCTAGCGAGGGAGAGAGGCGGACAGCCCACGTCTCCCTGCCACCTGCGAGCACCGAGCCCAGGGGAGCAGAGCGATGTTCAGCGGGCAGATCCCGCTCTGCACGCTTTGCTCTCCGCGGGCACGCAGGGCAGCACAGCCCGACCTCCCGCTCCGCTTCAAGCCTCATCTCCGACACTCCGCACTCCCGAGCCGTGCCAGGAACAGCCGCGTCACCCCATACCGCAGAGCCAGCCCTGCCATCGCGGGACACTCCGCCACCTCAGCCCCGGCCCGGCTCCCCCCGCGGCCGCCCGCCCGCCATGATTACCTCACAGCCTGCGCGCCGCCCGCTCCGAGCCACTGAGCGCCGCCCGCCGCCGTCGGCCCTTATAGCGGCAACGGGAGACCGCCTCCGGAGGGCGGCCCTGCCCGGCCCCGCCGCCCGCCCCCGGCCCGGGACAGCTCGGGGGGCTCGCCCGGCTGTTCTTATGCCTCCAGCATACACCGGGCTGGGTCAAGTGGAGAGAGCCTCGGTCAGCAGCAGGGAGGGAATCTCACCTCTGCTCCCTCGCAAAGCGGAGAAAAAGTAACGCCAAGGAAAAGTGAGAGGGTGTCAGAGACGTGCCTGCTACAGCTGAAATCCCCACTGCATCTCTCCTCGTTAAAGGAAAGCTATCTAAGCACCTGCCCTGTGTAGGAACCACACAACCGTTCCGCTTGGAAAGACTTGAAAGACCACCCAGTCCAACCCCAGCCCACCCCACCATGCCCACATCCCTCAGTGCCACATCCCCACGGTTACAGAACAGCCCCAGGGTCCCCCGCCACCTCCCTGGGCAGCTGTGCCACTGCATCACTGCTCTTGCTGAGAAGAAATGCTTCCCGGTATCCAACCCGAACCTTCCCTGGTGCAACCTGAGGCCATCACCTCTCATACAATTGCTGTTACTGCCACCTCACCACAGCTTCCCATCAGGGAGCTGTAGAGAGCAACAAGGTTTCCCCTGGGCTTCCTCCATGAACAACACCAGTTCCCTCAGCTGCTCCCCATAAGACTTGTGCTCCAGACCATCACCACTCTGTTGCCCTTCTCTGGGCACGTTCCAGCGAGGGAGCGAAACACCATTAAAAAGTATGCATTTTGTTTATCCAACAATGCTTTAACTTATTTCCGTGGGCAATCAAAAGCTTCCATTCAAACATCACCAAAGTCCATGGATGCATCAGATTTGCATCCTGCATGCAAAGAGCGTTAATCAGCCTCAGTTTCTCTGCTAGCAAGGAGGAGATGATTAAGCTGTGGACATGATACCTCCCACAGCTGAAAGGATGCACTGATTTTAGCCTATCCCACCGTTTTTTAGGTGCCAGGAAGGAGAAGGACAGAAGGATGAGCCCCTCGCTGTCCCACAGATGGAGCAGGTGAGACGAAACGTACCTCGCTCCCTTCCCCAGATGAGGATAGTTAGATCCTCCCAACTTCACAGCTGTCAATGAGCAAAGCATTTTGGCATTCGCTTAAATTCTGCATGCTCGCTGAAGCCCGCGAATGCTGGCGGAATTGAAGTATGATGAGTTCAGACAATGACAGGCTTCAGTTTAAAAATAAGTGTGTGCCCTTGGCTAAATCAGGCTCTGAAAATCCTAAGCAAAAAAAAAAAAGTACTGTTGCAGAAGTCCAGAGTCCCTTGGTCAAAAAAGCAAGCAGTTTTTCTTTACTTGGTGCACCAGAAAATAACATCAAGGACTACAGCCTCTCCAAAAATACGCATCAGCATCAGCAACCACAAGGCTGCTCGCCGTCCAGGAGTTGCAGGCAGCCTCCTCTCTTGCATCTGCTAAGAGCAGGAGCAAAGCCCTCGCTCCCCTTCCAGGTCCTCCCTCCAGCTATCTTTTACAGGGAACACGTTCCACACGCAGGAGGGACGAGCCCATTCCCTTTCCATTATGAAAGCCAGATTTTGCTCGGTGCTCAGGGATGAAATGCTTAAGCAGTAAGCAAAATAACACTGTCTCAAAGAATTGCACAACACAAAACCATCCCCCTACAACACAGCGAGCAGAGCTGCGGAAAAGCTGGGCACCCCAGATAAGATCAGCACAGGGCCAATGCTACTTGCTTAGTGAGATTAGTTCTGCTCTATAACCACTGTTAAAAAGGCAGTCCAACCACAGCCTCCAGGAGATGTGAGCTCTGAGGCAGCTCATCAAGCAGGAACTCCCTGCACAGATGCAGCAAGATGAGTTCTTACCCATCCAAGTTTCCTTCTCTCCTGGGACGTGGATTTATGCCATGAGAACTGAGCAAGAACTTGTTCAGCAATTGTAATGTGGCTTGACACCTGGAGTTTGCCATCCCAGACTGCAGGCAGTGCAGAGAAACTCTAAAGGCTGAATCCTGAACATCAGGCAACTGCTTGACAAAGCCAGCAGCCCCAGCCTCCAGCTCCACAGCTGCGCTTTTTGGTTTGAAGGGTGACAGCAAGCAGGCTGTCTTCAGCAGCAGGATTCTCCCAGCACAAGCCTCTGCTATCCATGTCCGTGGGCAGCACAGGGCTTTGCATGAAATCAACACTCTGCTGTGCTCAGCGCTGAAGATAAACACACATAGGGGTGAGCTCTGACCAGTGGAGATAGAGAAAACTGTCATACCTATGAGAGAAAAGTCAAGGAAAAGAAAACACAGCTGAATGACTTGACCCAGCATATTTGGCACAACACAGTGCTGAAAGCTGGGTTATTACTTTAACTGCCTGCCCAATAAGCCTCAATTAAAGCAGTATCTTTCTTTTCCCTCAAAAGCACAAGTTCTTAGTGCTTACACTAACGGGGCAACAGGCAGAAATAGAAAATCCAGGATTCCACAGCGTCCCTTGCAGCCTCTCCCTGCTGAAATGAGAGCTGAAAGCCCCCTCGCTTTCTCTTAAGGCTTCCTTTTCCAACTGTGAGGCAGATGGAAGCTAACACCAAGCCCTGCCCACTTAAGTCAATAGATTAAGAAAAAAAAAAATGCAATTTGGCAGCTTTAAGTGTTAG